CCTAACCATGAATTGAACAAGTCATTGTTAATGACATAGTCCCCGTTGGAATTAGGGGAAAAGTTATTCATACCAAAAAATAAAGTTATGGACCAAAAGCATAGTTAGTAATTGATAGTGAATAAATGGCTGGTCTAGTATCAACAGAAATTAGATGTATTAAAATTACTTTTCCAAAATCGAAATATATGGTCAGAAATTAAATTAATTATTCATGCATTTTTTGTATCCAAAATGAATTTTCTTCGTCTGGGGCTCAGGTAAATATATATATATATATAGTAGTATGGTCAAAAAGCAGGCAGTCAACCATCTTTGACCAGATTGTGAAACTAATTGTCAAGGACATGTATTCAAACATGTATAAATTTGAAGAGAAAATAAACATGTCAACAATGACATTTTGAAAAAAAAACAAGATGGCTGCCAGTTGGTCATTTTGGGTTCGAACACAAAACAAATCATCATGGGCATGTATCTCAACATATATAATGTTGTATCAAATTTGAACAAATACCGATAAATCCTGTCTAAGAAAACACATTTTCCAAAAAACAAGATGGATGCCAGTTGGCCATCTTTGATCTGATAATGGAACAAACTGACATGAACATGTTTTCCTATATTTATGATATATGTGAAAAATATGAATGAAAATGGTCTAAAAGCCTTGGAGATATAGTAGTATGGTCAAAAAGAAAGATGGCCACCAGTCGGATATCTTTGATCTGATTATGAACAAATCGTCATCGACATGTATGCTAAAATGTACAATGTATGTAACAAATTTGAACAATCACTGACAAAGCATGCATAAGATACCACATTTTCAAAAGACAAAATGGATTGAACCAGTCTTGGATTGAACCAGTAAACCACTGCATGTGCATATGTTCTGGATAAAGTACTAGACACATGCAACGAATGGAGGCTTATTTTTTGATATATATCTCAGAAATATATGTCTCAATGAAAATAGACTTGCATACCAACAGCAATTGGACATTAATTATCCATATCAACGAAAACAACACAAATATCTGTATTCACCACAGGAGTGAAAATAAATGAACAACTGGATATGCATGAGAATAGGACTTTTGTTTTGTTTCAGCAATAAATTGTTTCCATTACCAACACCACATGATTTTATTTATTGATACAAATTTGTGCTAAACATCCAAGTAAACATAGGTGAATTTCACAGTAAAAAGTTGAAAAGCGAAAGACAACTGAGGTCAGAAAAACATGTTTATTACATGAAAGCTGGATATACGCAGAATACACAAGTTACCAATACTTTGTGAAATTTACGATGTCTCATCTCAGCAACCTCACATTGTTATTTCACATGCTTCATAGGCAGTTGATCCAGAAAACTGACACACTATTCTGTCCCAGGTTCATTAAATTTAATGTTTTAAAGTCTAGCCATTGCAAGTTTGTAGATCTTTTATATATTATATTTATATCGTGGGAGCAAATACTCGTTTTTCTTGTTTATTATCACACCTGAGTGACTAGACAGGTGATTTAGAAACAGTGCCATAAATTACTATTTTATGAGTGTGACCAAGTTGTGATAAATGAGAGCAGTGTTTACCTTTAAATGCTTCATAGTCAACACCTTTCCTATTGTAACACAAGAACACAGAGCATTCTAACTTAATGGGTTTAGTATCAGAGGTAAATGAAGCACAGTGGACTTCATCACCCTCTCCACCCATGCAGTCACTCCACTCAGCCAGGTAGTAACCAGTATGGATCTGTACCCCACTGTGTTTCAATGCATTGGTTATAGCTTTGTCAATTGTAGAATTGTTGAAACACGTTGGTTGGTAGTTCAGCGGTGGTTGCACCATGATGATACGTTCACCAGGTATTCCCATCATCAGTAAGGTTTGAATAGTGGTGTAGACATCCAATGTGTGGCCATATATCAGTACTTTCCCTGTAATCCAAGTCATGGTGTGGTTAATACACATTTGTTAATGTTATACTTGAATAGGTACGCAATGTGCAATAGAAAAATATATACACCTGATAAATCAGAATGATTTAGAAACATTTTCAGCCCATATATTGAACATATACCAATGAACTTTTTTTCTTTCTCATGGATTGACTAATCTAAGGGTGTAATCTCTTGTCTATCTCAGACAAGTACATGTTGTTACATATCAATTAACACACACCGACAAAAGTATTTCTTTATTAAAGTGACTTAACTGTAAGTTGTTAAATTCACATTAATCAAAATTTATCATTCAGATGGGTTAGACCTCAATTGTGCCAAAAGGGAACAGTCCATTATGTTACAGGGAGGACAAATTTACCGCACCCGTCCTACCAGGGTACCAAGCTTTAAAAATCATCTATTTTAGGGAGGTGAGTGCTTAGTAAAGCAACCTCTATAAAAAGTTGTCCAGCTGCCAATTTTTGTTCATCTTGTTTATAAAATAAAATTGCGAAGTGTGTTAATTCATGGTTATTGCAACGTTATTATTGCTTTCAACAAAACTTGAAGTAATATCATTGGCACTGATTTTGACAAAAAATGGCTTGTTTAAAAAACGGTTGATTCACAAAGCGTGGAAGATGTATTTAACACCTGTCACAGCCATCAAGCAATCATTGTCAAAGTCTAGTTTACCCACACAATATTCACAATAGTCACAATAGACACTAGAAATATTCAAAAAAGTATAGTGATTCAATGACCAAGTATCATGGCTTGACAGTCTAATTTTGGAAGGGTACTAAATTGAACGTGACCTGAAATAAAAATCCCCAAAGGGAGGGATGGCATATAGTCTAGGTTGAGTGCTAAGTCATGCACACAAGTATGATGATATTCACACACATGAAAACATAATTATCATAACTAACAGTTTTGCGAGATGTACTCTCTTGCCTTGCGAATTCTCCCAGCTGGGCTCACTTTAAAAAGACGTTTTAATAATATAAAGTGAATGTCAAAATCTACCTTCTGTATCAAGTAAATTTTTGGAGATCCACACTTTAGCCTGGAAAGCATCATATTCGTCATTAATAGTGAACACATTACTGGGTACAACCCCTGTGTAATGCCTATTAGGGTTGTTTGGTACTTCTTCATTGGTCACTAAATCATCAATATTAGCTTCAGTCGGTGCACTTATCTGATACTGTTGACCTGTACATAGAATGAGATGATCATAGGGTACTTTAGCTCCACCGGTGACGACCACATACTTGCTGCTTCTGTACAGATAAATGGAAAAAAGAAAGTGAATGAACAGTGATATTTTAGCAATAGAGCTATATATGACTATATGTATCTGATGTTTAGTGGTGTGTTTAGTACTTTTGAATTCCTGGAGATAGGTTGTCTATTATATTTTCAAAAACTGATCTCATTTGTAGTAGACAGATACCAAGTTCAGGTAAAATAGATGCATGCATGAGCATTCAAGTTCAAGCCATATGGACTATGTGCTACTACCATTATCTTGATTAGCTGGTATGCGTACTGACTTTTCGTGCTGTCCACCTGTTGACCTTTCTACAGATTCCTCAGATATGCAAATAATTAAACAAGGTTAAGCTAAGTATATGCAAAGTAGAAATCCTATCTTGCATTCAAGTTTTTTTGGAGGATGCTAGCTACCACAATATACTCTCAAGATTAAATGTGACACACCAAATAAGAGGATATACTGCTAAGTAACGTTACGATAAAACTTAACACATCATTTGCTGGTGCCATTATATTTCATTCACTTTAGCCATTTCTGAAGACTTTCAGAAAGCGAAGTGTTAAAATTAAACATAACGAACACATTTCAAACACAAGCTTTTTGTATATATCACTGAGAACCAAGTAACTTGTACCACTACTTATCAGAGAATAAAAGTGTGATGTGTTAAGTTTAATTTAATTTAGTTTAGTTTAAATGGTTTTGAAGTTACCAGTAACATACAAATTGTAATATAAACTAAGGACAAAACAATGATTTACATTTATTACACAAAAGGAATTGGAATATAAATTTTGTTTGTATCTTTGATTGACAAACACACTGCAAATGAGAGTATATTACTTGTTACGTGTACCTGTTGATAGCAACCATCTTAGCACAGACAACATTAACCCATGTTCTCAATGATATCTGTGACAATTCATGCTGCATATAACACAGACTGCTGGATAAGAAGTTATCTCTGATGTCATCTGGAGGAAGCTCTCCTGGTAAACCATTTGGTGATATCAAAGTCAGATTATTAAATCTTAGATGTGGACTAAAATCAAGAGAAAAAAAACATTATACAAACGGATCAATACAGCCATGCATACAGCAATGGATTGTGCAGAAATCACAGCTGACTGGATGTTGAGATTGGGAGAAAAAGTAACTCAAACCAGTGACTAAATTTACAGTAATGCAAGCATATAATCCTGTGTCTGTATTTATTTTTAATGAAGATAGGAAAAATGAAAGCAAACTAGGCAATATTTTAAATCAGGCACATATACTCACCAGAAAGTTAATGTTTCTAAAAATGATATACCAACATCTGAGGCTCCAACCACAACAATTCTAGCATTCACTGTCACTTTAGGTTCCAGAGTGAGTTTACGATTGATATGATTCAGTGCATACCTCTCCTACAAACATATAACAAAAGAGATGAGAGAATGAGAGTAGACTCTCCCAAGTTGGGTTTCTAGCACCAGGAGTCAACTCATAAAGTTTACCTCACTTTCATACATTTTTTGGGTTACAGTTCCCTTTATCATAATGAAATTGTAAGTTATTTACCAATATGAAGAAGTTAAAATTACAGATGACAAAAACGACATAAAACACAATTACGGATACTAGTAATATATTTCAATAAAAGGTCCCAACTTTTTATGAACTTTGTTCTTCTGACACTTATTGTTATTGTTTTTGACTCTCACCTCTTCTTTGGACACCCTTTCTGAGGGTGCATTTTCTCCTAGATCTTCCAATGGATAGATGATCTGTCGCCTTGCTCTCACGGGAACCATGAAATTCAAGGCTGACACCAAGGAATGATGCTGAATAGTCTGAAGTAAAAATATAACAATACACATGTAGTATGAATTTACAGACCAATGGTACACAACTTTGCCCAAGTGTCAATTAATGCAGACAAATTTAATGGAGATTTAGCTGTAGTATGTTGGCTTACCTCGTCTGTGGAGTACGGTGGATACACGGGATAGTAGAGACATGAATGATGCGACTGCCTCAGAATCTCCTTCATGAAGTGTTTCGAATAATGTTGAAATATTGGATTCAGTGCAAAGTGGTGTAAATGTCCGTGTTCATGTCTTCTGTGATGGTTAAAGTAGATGAAGTCTTCAATATTGTAATGTGAACGAATGTATTCAATGTCTTCTTCTTGTCTTGTCACGGCCACCCCGACTATCTGTTTTAGGCAGCAGGCAACAAATGCTTGGATTGGTGTGCCATTCTGGAAGAAGGAAACGTGTACCTAAATTTGACTTTTACAACATACATTACAGCATTAAAAGGGGTCAAAATAAAAAAATATAGTTGGACAAAAATGTTTTGGTGTGTTCTATATTATATACATGGAAGAACAATAACCTCATTATTTCTGTCCATCTTATAGGAACAGCGCCACCATAGGTTGGAAAAAAAGCACCACCACAGATGAATAAAAAATTAACTGAATTCTTATGATACATGGGACTACATACATCCACGAACAAATAATTCAGACAATAGTATATTTGAATTACTTGAATTAAAATTGACATGTGTATATACGTTACTGTGTCTATAATCAAAACAGTTTATTTTCTACCTGTAAAGTGAGGTAAATATAAATGTTTGCTGTAATTTTGATGATTAAATGGTATTCATTGCGAAAGTGGCTGACACTCCTTGTCATAACCTCAGAGAAATGGTTACTGCTACAAAATTTCACAATTTCCATTGTCATAAAAAATTGTCCCTTGCGAAAGTGAGTAGTTTACGGTATGAGTTTCCAGAAAATGTTTTATTAAAATGTTCACAATATTTATCGACTAAAATATGTAAAGAGCATTCAGAGATTATAAATATAAATCTTGATATAAACTTACAACATCTCGTCTCGCAATGTTGTACTGCTTGAGATCGGCAATTAAGTTATCGTGATGGTGTAGGCTCTTAATAACATTCTGGATAGAGTCCATGTCACTCGTACACACAGGTCGTACCAAAAAATTTTGAAGTAATCCCGATCTGTTGAATACATACAATTCCTGCGCGAGAGTACTAGGACATCTGGGTGTTACCCTCTAATTGGTGAGAAACAAGGAAAGTTTAGTATGTGGTATTTTTATTTCAGGGATTGAAACAAGATACAAGTAGAAATCACAAACAGCTTACCACAAAACTTTGCAGCATTGGGAATTCGGGAACAAGGTGTGGCATGGTGACAACACAGAAGTCTCTGTCTGGGAAAAGATCAAAAGCCATGGGTAGGAAATCTAGAGACCTGAAACACAAACATTAAGAATATTTTTGTTATTTGTAAGTACGTTAAATACTAAAAGGCTCGTTTGTATGCGATTCTTACATTATGTAAGTTATCCTGCTATACTTGCCTCATTTCATAGCGTTCATCAATACAGAATAGCTGTATACAGAAACAATTACTAGGTCCATTGTAAACTGATTTGAACGTCGTTCTCATTTTTCGATCTGGTAACTGTGGAGTTGGTGTTCTTTCAGGGGCTGGCGGCTCTTCCTCAAATTCTTCCTGTACTGGTGATTTTACTGAGCCAGACACCTATGACATATAAACAGCAAAGGTGACTCAAACAAGATAGACTTTGATAGATAGATCTATTGTGGTTTTTATGACTATACTATTAAAATTAACATCAACAAAACACTGAATATAAGAAATATTTTACCTTGGAAGAAGCACCAGACTTGGCGGACTCTGGGCGACTACCTTCACTTTGTAAGGAACTACAACTGAAGCAAGAAGAGATGGCAGAGAATAAGAAAGTGATGTTTGTAGATTTCACATTTCATTGTATCAAGAGATACTCAATACTTAATAATAACTTAGATTTGGTGGGTCTCATACAAAGGACAAGGGCTGTTGATTTGCATGATTGGGAATTTGCAACTGAGATTACTGCGATACTACAGTGAAAAGTTGTAATCAGTTTTATTAACTGCACAAATGAATGAACATTTCACTATTATTCAATACTTGGATCAAAATCTACCAAAGATTAACAAATGACAATAAAGACACAAAATCATTCTAGCAGTATCACATGCCTTCAACAACTGAGACCTAAGCATCATAAGCATAATTATTGAGTGCTTGGACAAGATGAGATAAAAAAAAAAAACATTCACCCACCTTCCTCCCATTTGTATATCACTAAGTTTTCGTTTGATTTTCACTTCACTTTCACTAGCAGCCTCTGTAAATAACAAAAAAAAACATACTTGTATAAAAAATATGAATGAAAGAAAATGCAAATTATTTTGAATTTGATAATAACACAGTGAACACTGTGAAATATGTATCATGGGTCATACCTCTGGATGCTGGTGGTTGTGACTGTGGTGTGGCTTGCTGTGGTAATGGTGTTCCTTTCACACTTGGTGTTTTGCCAGCACCTCCATCCCCTGTGAATGAAGAAAATAGACAATGTATAGTAAATGATGCAGTACTTATTTTATAGCATGTATACACATACTGTGGGAGTGACATTACTATTTTATCCATAGTACCTATATTAATTAACACTATAAACATGGTGAACAACTATAATAGTAAATATATATTCACAAGACTCGGTACAACATTATAATTAATTACATATAACACAAAGACAATTATTACAGGGGTGTGATTATTTAATAGAACATCCTTGGAAAACAGCCACAAAAGGTGCGCTATTAGTGACAAGTATGGATGTACGGTATAAATAATGAGTGTGGCTTTGGTATTGATATACAAGTCAATCAAATATCAGACATACTGTGACATTCACCAAATAATAAAATGTACTATGTTTTGAGACTTGAACAGTTATAAAAATGTGTTCATTGCACAACTTGGTTCTGAGTTTTGAGTGTGTTAAAACGACCAAAAAATCATACATGTATTTTTTTTCAGTTGAAACTTTTCCTATCTTTTACCTTATAATCATTATAAGACGATATGAGGTGTTAGTGGAGATGTGTGTGAAACTGAGTAAGTGTGCATGTGTGCAGGCATTGAATGTTAACAATTGAAGCTATTTAGGATGCACATGCACACGTGTATAGTAACTGTGTTTTTTATACCGGTAACATTGTTTTGACAACATTGTCACAGCGTGAGCTAGTGATGATGCATGAATGATGCATATTCCGTCAACCACTCCAATGTTGGTTGGAAAAATTGTAAACATATTTCATTCCCATATATGTAGTACAGTGTAAGCTCATTTTGGGTGTAAAAATTATACACTGAATTGTATTAAACTCTGTGATCATTTTGCAGTAGCAATCCAAACACAATATTTAAAACAATCTATGGGCCAAGTGAAATAAGTCTTCTGGTAACCCTTAGTGAAGAACTCAACTCTCTAAAGTTGCACTAGTATTCAGAGATGGTACTTATTAGATTTATTAATGTTTTGGCACATTTATCCGTATATGAAATATTTGATGGAATGATGATGCATGAATTGCAGCACATATGTGGGGAACAATTATAGATTATCTGAAAAACTACAGTCCAAATATCATGAACACATGTGCATCAGAACCTAAATGTTTTACCTGGCGTAATACACATAATTAAAATGCAGCTAACAGGCTGAAATCACAAGTCACCTATACTGACTTTGACCACAAGAATGTGACATCAGTAATGTTTGATATGCTTTATTGAACCTCACCCTAAGTTTAATACCACAAATGAAACTCGCATGATTTCAGACTGTAATCATGCTCAACAAAATAAACAATTATTAATACTTGATGAGAACTATATGTACTTTGAGTTGTTAAATTTTATGATAATAAACTAGGAATTATGTGCTGTGCAATAAGATGACTTTAAAATGTAAATGAATTAATTTATACGTAATAAAATTGGAAGCATTGTCCTGTACCTTCCTCTAACTCATCAAGGTCTTCATCTAGGTGAATGAATGAACATGCATATAAAAAATATGTTTAGCATAAAAACAAGCATAAAAAATATGTTAAATGCACTGCTGCCAAGCCACACAGTGTTAGTATTTGCATGTACTAATAATGGTATCGGTAATCAAAAAACTAGAAGCATGGAGGTAACCTCCATGCTAGAAGAAACCATGTAATCAAAGACATTAGAGACAATTGCCATGCTCCTTCCATTGCCAAACATGCATTAGAACCAGCATAAAATAATATTCCTACTGCAGATGAGATTAAAAGAAAAGTAGTAGCAAATACATGTAGATCATCAAACAAATGTTCAAGTATTTTAGCATTTGGGCTCACTGAAAGAATACCAACATGCAATAAAATATATGCTTGTGACAAGACATGGTATACATACCTTTCCTTGAACCAGCAGAGCCTACCCTGTCAGATTTAGTTGTATCTTGGGTACCTGGTCGGTCTTCGGTAATCACAGCTCCAACTGGAGAGGGAGCAGAGGCTGGAAAGAACAGATTACAACTCTATTATTTTATAGTTTTATCAAATCAATTTATATAATCAATGGTTTAAAATAAAAACAATGATTTAGTTATAGGTTGAAAATATGAAAAACTGTAAATTATGACTCACGTGGTGGTGGTGTTTGTTCCCTCGGGTCTTCCAGTATATCATCTGGATGTGGTTTACGTAAACCATGGAAAGGAGCCAATTCGAAACAGTCGTTTAAAAGCTCTAAGTTGCTCACTTCACCACAGATACTCATGAATCCTATAGCTGTACCATCATTCTATTGAAGGTAAAATAAGTTTGGATCAATATAATTAGATTACTGTAACAGAAATCAAGTCACACAGCTGAGCTCAATACTCATGTAGAGAAGTAAATGGTAACATACCTCTGTAACAAGAGCATGGTTATTATCATCTTGAGCTTCAATCAACTCAGCTAGGAAATAGTCACCATACGTTTTAGATAGCATATCACTCTGTCTGTTAAATATTGGAGTCAGATCATCATGATCCTCAACACTAAAGAACGAGAAATTACATTTGTTATGACCGCAAAGTGAATACAAAATTAATTGTTTGCAAACATTTCATTATGTTGTATAATATCAAAATAATGTAAACAGTTTTATTATTCTACACAAAAACCGATTGATAGAAGACACAAAATAGATGCACAATACAATCAAAATAGACATCAAGTGTAAGACCAACATAGCGCCACCTAGCTACTCACCGTGCTTTTCTCACAAACAGCACAGGGCAGTGATCATGACGGTAACATACAAAGATTGCGCATTTTTCTAAGGTGCCAGCATTGCTCTTCTTATCCAGTGGTTTGAAAATATCAGACAAAGAGGATTCTGGGTAGACACCCTGTGGTACAACTAGATATATAAAGTGGAGGTCTGGTACAGCATTGAAAGCAGTTCTGAAAACAATCCAGGTTTATTACAGAATTAAATCTAGTGACATAATTAACAAAACAAAATTCTAATAAGCTAAAAGAAAAACCATGCATTTTGTACAAACCATCCTTACCTGATGATTTCTCTTGCGCTTCCACGTGAGAATTCCTGCTTAGAGACAAAGTAGTGCATAAAGGCACTATTCAGTGGCTAGAAAAAAGAATACAAATTATTTATTAACTTGTTGAAGACACACTTCCCAAGTGAATTGATTTGCACATGTATATGCATGTAATGTTTGTAACAATTAATAATGTAGTAGTAGTAGTATATGTATTGCACATTTTGGTTTATCAATAATCATATCATTTAGTTAATGTTCTTCCCTAGAATTTATCACGTTATGGAAGATATATACTCATCATTTTTAATAAAGTTGGGGATGTGAAAAAGAATAACACCCAATGCTACTATGATTACAGTATTGATTCAATGGCCCAAAAACAAAAGACTGGACCTAAATCAACCCAGCTTAAAGGCAAATACCATTTATCTACAAATACAAAAGAATGGCCATGCTGGGATATACTTACAGTACTATCCTCACAGTCATAGTACTGGTTCATCCACTGCTCCCATTTAGCTGGATCCACATCTGTCACATTTGGGAAGTCAAAGAAAGCGGCATGTGCCAAGACTTCATCATGGTCATTGTGCAAGGTTACAGCAAGAACCGCCTTCTCACTACAGGAATATTTGAGTCAATAATTAGCGTATGGTACTCGGAATGACTGGGCTCTCTCTGCATTTTTGCTCATTGCATATACCAGTAGTACTAATTCAATTTGAGTTATTTAGTTAATCTTAAAAATATAACTCAATTTACAATATTTATTACTGAAAGAGGAAGCATAGATCTGATTAAATTATTATAGAACTTTTGATCGATATTTGCGATGACACCATTTTGATTATTGTTTCATAGATAATGCAAAGTGAGAAAGGTCATTCAAGGCATTTACACCTCCAGAAATGTGATTCTAGTAAATCTATAAACTTGCTTGCTCGCAATAAGCTGTGGCGTTCTATCAGTTATTTGTGTAAGCCTCCAGTTTGCTGGTGGTGAGAAAGCCTTGCTCGCAGTTTAGCAAGTATGCGTGAAGTGTGGTGCGACATGAAGTCATTCTTTCAAGGAACTCAGGTTCAATTTTATTCACCAAAATACCACTTACATGAGGTGTACAACGTTGACAAGTCCAAATAGCTGTTCTGTAGCATGTGAAACCAATCTTAGAATATTTGGTGCATCCAATGATTCAGTCCTCCTTGCATTGATAACCTCAGCAGGGCCATCTGACGAAACTAGGGTCGTCATATTTACTTTGCTGTGAAGAAAGAAAACAAATGAGTTAAATATAAATATAATATTTATATTATAGGAGCTCACCCTTTTTCTATCAACTGTGTACAGAGAAAGCAAATTTGAGGACATGATATCTGAAATTAAAAACTGGCAAACAACAACCATACAAGAAGAAATATTCATAAACAAAAATAATAAAAGGTTTTGGTATATTTTAACTTGCTTCCTGCTCCGTATTACTGCCTTGTGTAAATATAAAAGATGCAACCTTCGAATCATTTGATGCGAAATGAAAAAAAAATGGTGACCAGAAATTTGACCATTCTAAGAGTCACCTTAAAATTAGTCAATCAATTCATGTGTTATGAACTGTTATGATACTGTTCAGCCGCGGATACTTCGGTGTTTAACGTGTAGTACATTTTTATTCATGTAAGGGTAACAGGCTGGAAAAAGCAATATATGAACAATCAAATACGATATATTTACCTGTGTAGAACGATGTACAGTAAATTGTTACACTATAAGCCGAGTTAATAACTTTTTTCGCAAGCTCGAGCTCATCAAAACACACCCGCCATGTTGGAGGCTCTTCTATGGCAACGGCAACCTTGTTCAAGACAGTATTTGACATGTGAGTAATTTTAGACCTAATTTGTCGTTTTAAACAATCTAATTTATATTTATTTATTTTAGTTTTATAATATTTTATATAAATATAGATAATCGTGTGTTTAATGAGTGATTATAGATAAATTGAACGTAAATGCAAAAAATAAACTTGTGAACAAGGACATATTGCTGAGCGTCCTCTGCTGCTGACCCAAGGAGAATATTCAAAGGGTCGTAAGATGAAACTATTCTTTTGAAGGGATCTTCATAAAGTACATCATTTCTCGATAAACAAAAACACACGTCTATGTTTACATTACATTTTTATTAAATGTTCTATATAAAAATAAACTAATAATGCTTCAGTTGTGGATGGATGATATTTATTGGATATGGTGACTCAATTTATATTTTTGTCCTATCATCTTATGTTTATAGTTGCATTTACCTATCCATACTAACATTTAGTACGACCATACGTCTGATATACGCCATGTTGGATTTCCCTCGTTGGACTTGAAAATAGAAAACTTTGTTGTGAGAGTTTGTGCTGAAGTGTGTTGTCGCTGTAATATTCTTGAAAACCTTGATCTGTGACATCGGCTATAATCATGGCATCCAGTGCAGGAAAGGGGAAAACGCCCAAAGTGGCCAAGGTAAGATGTATTAATTTGACACAAGTGTCTAACAGTAACACAAGTGATAATACATGTACAATGATATCTCACTATGATGAGCCCAATCGCCCCCTACCAAAATAATTACTATAAATACTTCTAATTTACGGGAGGAAAATGTCCCGAAATTGAGGAAAAACTTGTTCTTTAGACAGGAGTTCACTGACTTCCGTGAGAGATTATTTTTTCATAATAATATAATAATATGCACTTCGATTACGCACTTATATGTTGAAAAACATTTTCGATCTCTGAATCGACCCAACAAGATAATATGCATATTTATTTCAAGTTAAATTAAATATATTGGTCTATGTGTATGCACAAGAAAAGGCATAAATGTAATTTTTGATCTAAAATGTCCTTTCTGTTCGGTGATGAGCAACAAATGTTGGTGTTTACATTAAACCAAGGACCCTACAATATTGTAGGGTCTATGATTAAACCAGTTTTTATTTTATATCACTGTGCATGATTCAGCCTGAAAATGGAGAAAATATTGTTTTGGAATCTAAATTCTATCTTGACACCAATACAGAATGCAATTTTTGACCGAAATAACACATAAATTGACCCCCTCCCCCAAATCTATATAACAATTTCTAGGTGAAGTTTGTAGATTTCATTCATAATTAATGCAATTATACATGTACATGTAGTTTGGGCAAGCATAAGGATAATATTTCAAAGTAAAAAAATTGGAATACTGCTTGAGATACAGACAGAAAAAAAAAAAAACAGCTGGATTAGATTTTTTAGACCACACATATGAATAGAATAAATAATGGACCTCTCTTGTGCTCGATTGTATTCAAGTAGTCACCCAAGATCTCCTTTACTTTTGAAACAACTTTTCATGTGGATCTCCGGTTGCTTTTTACAAATATTATTAAATGCAATATCAGAATAACCTATAATGGTTATAAATTGCAAATTCAGTGAAAGCCAATCATTGTTGGAAAAACAGAATAACATAATAAAATGTTTGGGATATTTTGGGTGGAGAGGAATCATTTATCATTAATTTATATGCAAATTAGCTATTGTCATTCCACCAATTAAGTTCATGCACTTTCTATGTAGTGAATGACTAGTCCTTACTAAAAAGAAAATGTATTTTAAAAAGTTACTGAGATCATTTTTCCCATCTTTCCTTTTATCATAATACTTATTAAATTATTTTTTAAAACTCAACGTTGTAGTTTGTAACATGTTCAAAATAATCATATAAACAATGCTGCTTGGTCATTTACTTGCAAGTGCATATTGATTGGGATTGACACAGATATGTAATTTATGAATAACTTTTCCTCTTACTCTCATTATAGGTTAAAAATAAAATGCCGGCAGAAGTTCAAATCACTGCTGAACAGATTCTGAGGGAGGCAAAAGAGAGAGAGCTAGAAGCTGTGCCGCCAGTAAGTACACTGAATCCACTCTATTGTCTATAATGTTTTAGCATTAATGCTTACTGTCGATAAGGAACCTGCACTAAATATTTATGTGAAGAAATAGTAGTTCTAAATAGAATACTTACTGTAAAATACTTTTAGCTGGAATTAATTTTCATTGAAAAAAAAACCTTTTGGCTGTTTTGTATGACATTTATTTTCACTAAATTTTGATGGATTGATTATAAAACAAAGGAAAAAAAAGTATTTCTACTGGATTTTATTTTCACCGATTTATCCCGTCAGTGAAAATAGCGAAAATTAATTTCTAAGTGAAAATAAAGTACTTTACAGTATATAATGGCTAAACTAAGAAATTTCATGTTAATTTATGCTGATTGATATGCTAATGTTATTCTAATTAGTCTCATCTATAACAAAAATTCTCAGGGAGAGGCCTGAAATGCAACAAGACTTACACTCACACATGCTTCTAATATTATTTTCAGCCCCCAAAGCAGAAGATCACTGATCCAGATGAACTTCAGGAATACCGACTTAAAAAACGAAAGGAGTTTGAGGACAATATACGAAAAAATAGATCAGTTATGACTAATTGGATAAAATATGCTCAGTGGGAGGAGAGTCAGCGGGAAGTTGACAGGTGGGTAAGCAACTGGAAGTGTTCACTAAATTCTAATCCTTTTGCTACCAATATCAATAAATATCAATAAATTATGAATGTCTGTATCTCATTCAACTGAAATTGAATATGGAAGTTTGTTTTATTTCGACGAATCCAATGGGTCTTTGAGGCTTACTTGCAATAGATCGCAGTGAAGTGGCTGATCTTGACACTACTGTACTGTTAAGCAATATTATTGTTTGGATGCAATTTGTTGTTCAACTTTTAAGTTTATTTTTTTTTGTATCTTTCTCTTAGCATTAATTAAGGGACGACGTCAAAAGATCGATGTCGGATAAAAAACTTATTAGCTTTAGTTTGGGGGTGGGGGGTTTTGACCTCAAAAAGTTTCTATCCTACAAAAACGATTTTATTTTTTAATGAAGTCAAAAAAATCTTGGAGTATTTGTTATTCGTTTTTTTCTATCCAATCATAGCCAAAAATAACACAAAATAAAAAAAAAACATCCAAGACGAGAAAATGGTTTGGTCCGAGTGTAAAGTCTTTTTACACCCACCCGGTAACCAACTGCTATGCCATACTACTGTCGGATTATCAATTTGTATTTAATAGTGAATGTAGTCTGACGCCATGGTCAATATTTATCAATTAAGTTTCAGTGGGGGGTAGGGGGGTTTGGGAAAAAACTAAAGGAATTAAGTTTTTTATCCTACATTGAACTTTTGATGTTGTCCCTAATCTGGCTATATGACATGTACTATGGGTCATTACATGTGCCTGCATTTGAGAGTGGGATGTGTCTATTGTCAAAATAAGTCATATTTGAATGATTATATATACAATAAATACAATTTTCGGTGTATGTGCACTTCTATTGAAATGTGCTTCGACTAGTAATAGAGCAAATATAGTATATCAAATGTTACAAGGTGAATGTTACTTTAGTCTTGTTTTGCTTGTTTATGAATCCATTGCTATGTGTTTGTTTATTTGTTTCTTTCAGAGCCCGGTCAATCTGGGAGAGAGCATTGGATGTGGATCACAGGAATATCACAATATGGCTAAAATATGCCGAATTAGAAATGAAGTAAGTACTGGTATAATGTATACAATTTTATTGATGTGTTCTTCATTGATTTTGATGGTAGAACAAAACTATTATGCTTGCCATGATGCTTTGTTAATTTATGTGCCATGCTGTGTGATTACCAATTTAGCGTTAATGCAAGCTACTTTTTTTCATGCCAATTTCAACCTATGTTGTATTTGTCTGAATTACTCAGCTACATGTATTCTTCAGGCCTACAATCATAAGATTGTAATATGTATGGTCGTCATAATTCTTAAGGTGTGGGGATAACAATGTTTTTATTTGCTTTGTTTTCTCTTCAGACATCGTCAGATCAACCATGCAAGGAATATATGGGACAGAGCGGTTACGATTCTACCAAGAGCAAATCAGTTCTGGTATAAGTACACTTACATGGAAGAAATGCTTGGCAACACGGCTGGTGCCAGACAAGTGTTTGAAAGATGGATGGAATGGGAACCGGAGGAGCAAGCATGGTTGTCATATATCAAGATGGAACTTAGATATAAAGAAGTTGATAGAGCCAGACAAGTATATGAACGATATATCCTTTCGTAATATGACCCTGCTGGGGGGTTGAAGGATACTTCCTTTATTTGTCGTATTATTATCAGAATTATTGTCACTGTGTTCGAAGTTCTCTCAAGGAATTTTTGGATGGCATCTTATTTGCATAAGAGTACAACCTAATTTACATAACAAGTAGATTATTTTGAAATAATAGTTTTCTTTAGCATAATAATAATTTGCTGGTGTATTGTTTTCCTGAAAGTTTAAGCGCAATTAAATTGTTTTGCTCGAAGATGCCTTGGAAAAAGTGATGGGAGTTTACAGCCTCCACTCTGTGCAAAAAAACAACAACTTTCTAGGTAGACCATTGTTAGACTCGTATTGATGTGAATTGATCAATGCCTATTTAGCCTTCGCAGACGAAGTCTGCCGAAGGCTTATAGATTGGGTTCTGTCCGTTCTGTTCTGTTCTGTTTTACCTCTTATAACTTTTATATGCTCTGTCCAATTTTTTTCCAAATTGGTGCAAATGTATATCTCAATGCCATACATATGCACGCCAAGTATTTTTTTGATTCGCCAAAGTTTCATTGTGTTTTTCTGTGATTTTCAACATTTTTTTAGTACAAATGCCGAAATTTGCCGGAAAAATCTGAGTTTTAACGACATCTCGCAAGAGAACTGGTAAACCGTATTGCGCATGCGCCAGTCCAACTGCTGAGGAAATCGGCGGCGATTTCGTCTGAGTATATTGTATTTCGGGACTGTATCTTTCTTTGCACAAGGCTTATATAGATTAAATTCTATCTCAAAGGTAAGAAACTGTGCTTATGGTATTTATTATGAACTTTGATTTATCCTTTTGTGTCCTGACTTTAGTGAGAAACTAGTGATCGCATAGTGTCACATTTTGCCAGAAAAACAGTCCTGCTATTAGTTCAAGAACTGGTTATGAAACGTGTAGATCGAAAGTCTTTCTCGTCATTTAGGAGGCTTGGGAATAACGTTTGGCATATAAAATACTGGAATAATAAAAACGTAAAAGTTTAGAACACGCTGATCGTGATTCTGTTATGTACGATTGCTATTTCCGGTGTTCATTGGCAACTGTAGCAGATTGAAGCTTTGTTTCGTGACGACATATTAGGCTAGAATTATCGAGAAAACACAAGTCAAGTTCGGCCAACCGTGACTGCTTGAAAGCAATGATGAAATTGAAAAGTACTGTAATTCAATATCAATGAATCTATCATCACTTTTAAATTACCTTTGAAGTAAATATGATACCCGAGTGCATTATTGCACTCGTGACCGGGACCTCCATGCTCCATGCGGTGTTGAAATTGAAATGTTGAAATGTCAACAGAGACACATTTTCCCAATCAGCTATTTATTTCGGTACTGAAGTCAGGGTGGCAATTTCAATGTTTAGCTACCATAATTTATCTCCATTATGAGCAGGAAAATAAATTACGGACCTCGATTGAGAGGGATTTAACGGTGGCCATGTTTTTAAGGGATAGTGAAACAATATTAGGGAGGGGTCAAATTCACGTAATTCTCAATTTTAATGATGTTGACTTAATGGTCATAATTTTTTTTTTAAAAACTCCGGATATTATTTTATATAATATTTTAATACAACTACAATATGTTAATTAGTATGCAAATTAATATGCAAATTAGCAGCCAATAATAATAATAATAATAACTCTATTTAATTAAGCGCAACAATTCCAACATATGAAGATCAAAGGCGCTGATACAATAAACAATCAGCCAAATATTAAAAGCACATTTAAATAAGTGCGTTTTCAGTCTGGATTTAAAAATGTCTACTGAAGGACTAGAACGAACAGACAGAGGTAATTCATTAAAAAGTTTAGGACCTAAATTTTCAAAAGCACGGTCTTTGTATAACACCTTGGACTTTTTACTACACATCTGACGAGTTTTAATAAGAAACTTCGATTCAGATCTTAAACTACGACTCGGTACATAAAATTCGATTAATTCACATAGATAATTTGGGGCAAAACCATACAAAGATTTATACACTAGTAAAAGTAATTTGAAATTGATTCTTTGTACAACTGGTAACCAATGAAGTTTAATAAAAATGTCTGTAATGTGGTCATATTTTCGAGCACGAGTGACAAGGCGGGCTGCTGCATTTTGTACACGAATAAGAGGTTTTATCTTAGTTACAGGGAGACCAGACAATAATGAATTACAGCTGTCTAAGCGAGAAGATATGAAAGCATGTACCAACTTTTCAGTATCAGATTGGGATAATGATTTACGAATACGATTAATATTTCTTAGATGGGAATATCCAGATCTACAAATAGTAGAAATGTGTGTTTCCATAGATAGCTGCGAATCAAACAAGACACCTAAGTTTCTAGCACTTGACGAAGCACTAACCAATTCTTCACCAATTGCGATACTAGACAAAGGACACGAGTCTTGTGAGAATCTCCGAGACGACATGCACACAAATTCAGTTTTCGACACATTCAAAAGTAGGAAATTACAAGACATCCAATCGCTAACATCTTGAATACATGTCTGAAGTATCACCCGGGCGCGAATTTGATCATCTTCAGAAACCGATAAATAAATCTGTGTGTCATCGGCGTAAAAATGATATTTTACGCCGTGACGTCGCAATAACTCGCCCAATGGACGCATGTACATTGAGAACAATCTGAGACAATGCAATCCAGTTCAAAGGAAATTTGACATACACTTAGGTTACATGATCACTACCTCTGCTGATTAGTTTTTTTATGCACTTCTATCTGCTTTTATATTAAATGTATTTTTTTATATTTTTCTCAATAGTTTTTTTTTATTTCTTTTGATAGCTTGGCATCCATTTGGTTCAGCTCAAGTGAAGTTTTCGACACAAGTACTTTGGCTTTTTGCACATTCTTAATATTTTATTTTTGCAGAATCCTGTGAATATTAATTTGACAACTTTGTAGAGTGGAAACTGTTGAATTAGTTCATCCTAGATTTTGGTAGAACATGTTTAAAATAGTACAGTGTGAACTGCAATTTCTTTCTGGCTGGTATAAATTTATAAAGTAATATTTTTTCGTACTAAAAAGACTCAAATATCTTTTTAGCTCCGCTGTCGACTTTGTCGAGCGGAGCTTATCATATGAGTGATTGTCCGTCGTCGTCCGTCTCCGTCGTCGTCCGTGTCAATGTTTTACTTTTTCGACTTCTTCTTGAAAACTACAAGCCTGAATGC